TCCTTGATGAGATATTCATATTGTTCTGGATAACTTTAAAGCAGTATCTGGCTGTAATTGAGCTGGTTATGAGATGACTGTCGATCCCCATGGTTCGGGAGCTGATGCCAGTTGCAAGAATAGCCTCCTTTTCCAGGACTTTGCAAGGTCCCAGAAAGTGAGGATTTCTGCCTCCTGGCACCAGCGATACGGCCCACATCTTTGGATGTTGTAGAGCAACATGGGTAATGCAGCCAAGGAGATTGATCACATCCCCATTAGCACTCGTGCTAATGTTTGATTGTCCGTGGTTTCCTCTCATTTAGTAAGATATTTCAGTCAGTCAATATATTTAAATCCTTTTCATTATAGTAAACAAATATATTTTTTCAATGTATATTATCATATATATACAATATATGTAACACGAGACAAAACAAACACAAAGACACTTGCACTGGGTAACGAGTCCTGGGGTAATAAGCCCGATGAATGGGATCCCAGGGTAAGTAGCCCGGAGAATGGAATCCCAGGATAAGTAGCCTGGAGAATGGAATCCCAGGGTAAGTAGCCCGGAGAATGGAATCCCAGGGTAAGTAGCCCGGAGAATGGAATCCCAGAATAAGTAGCCCAGAGAATGGAATCCCAGGGTAAGTAGCCTGGAGAATGGAATCCCAGGGTAAGTAGCCCCAAGAGTGGAATCCCAGGGTAAGTAGAAATAATGAGGCCCAGGTAGTCTGGTTCCGTTTAAGATCGTCAGCTTGTTCCACAATAAATAAAATGGAGGCTGCGAAAAGAAACCGTTTTGGTAATAATTCGCACTATATAATATATATATATATAAAGTCACTTCACTGCACTGCACTTCCACTTCCACTTCCACTGAATTATCATTTAAGTGGTTTACACAGATTTTATATTATTATACAGAAACAAATATTTACTCATACTTAATGTGTCTCAGTGTGGAGTTCGGAGCCAAGTGGCTGACCATATAATGGCGACCACCGACCAAGGCTGTCTTCGTGTTCAAAGCAATGAAAACGGGTCGTCTTGGTAAACCAAATGGTTCATTTACGCACACAAGCACACACACTCTCACACTTCGTACAAAAATATTCAAAATAAATAGTGAAACCATCACCAAACCCTGTTGATGCAGCTTATGAATTAATTGGTGAATGCCCAAGAGCAAGTCAGAATTTTATCTTGCAAGAGACACAAAGCTTCAGATGTTTGTCGTGTGGCTTGTCTGACAGGAAATCAGGATTTACACTGTTCTCAGGTGCGCAAAACTCAATCACTGTTGAGAAAGGACAAGGGACAGTTTATTAGGAGTCTTGTAGAGGAGGTCGAAGGCCATTTATTAGTAAATGACATTCGTCCGGCCTTCCAAGCCTTGGGAAAGCTGAAATCCAAGGCCTCTTAACAGGTGACTGCAGTTCGCTCAGTAAGTGGCCAGATCGTCTAAGATCCTGTTGCGGTGTGGGATCATTGGGCTGAATATTTTGAACAGTTGTACCAGGTTGATCCACCAACAGTTAACTGGGATACGGGTAGTACCGAGATTCTGTTGCCGGACCCACACATCAATGAGGATCCACCCTCCCTAACTGAAGTTAGGGAAACAATCATCAAACTGAAGAATGGTAAAGCAGCAGGTATCTGCCGCATCCCAGCTAAATTGTTAAAGGCTAGTTGTGAACCTATGGCACAGGGGTTCCATGCTGTCCTGATTACCATCTGGCATTCTGGGAGGGGATCAATGAGACACTGCTCAATATACCAGGCAAGGTTAAATTCATCAACAGAACAACAATTCTTCAAAAATCATACGTTTCGAGTCTTTAACGACCATCTTCAGTGATGACAAAAAGTAACTAAAGGATTCGAGAAATATATACAACTTTTTTTAGATAAATTATATCAAAAAGAGCATTTGTAAAACATGAAATAAGAAAAAAATCATATATATCAAAAGGTTAAATAATTATAGTCAGGTAATAAAAATTATAAACGTTTATGAAATGTATTGTACAGATAAACACAACACGTTAACAAATTCAAGTTTCCGGATAATGTTTCCCGAATCCTTTATATGTTTTTTATATGTATTATAATATGTATATATATATATATATATATATATATATATATATATATATATATATATATATAATATATATATAATGGTATGTATATATATATAATGTATATACATGTTAAATATATATATATATATATATATATATATATATATATAGTG